TATCAGTTTGATATGAAGGTAGAGCCATTTTGCTTAGTTTTTTTTTTTGAAGGAATGAACCGCTCGAAGCAAACAGCTGGTCATCCACACAGAATGCGCTTCTTCCAAGAATCTTAGTTTTGCTTACAGAGATTCATTTTCATGTTAATATAGAATAAACAGTATGTAATATCGTTTTCTCGTTCATTTACTTGTATTCGAAATGGAATGGAAACGAGTTTTCTCAACATCTTCCAATAGCGATTCGGGCTTCAAACCTACTCCACAAAAACAAATAACATTGTGGCTGTAGTCTATGAAAACAACACATTCAGAACACAATAAGCCATCAAAAACTGACAGTTTTGAGAAAAAAACAGGAGTATAGGATACTAATTGAACTGACGAGCTTCGTGGGTCGCTGAATTAAAATAATAGACGTAGAAAAAAACGTCCGAGGGACCAAGACTAATCTAGCCACCCCACTTGTACGATAATGGGAAAGTCAATGCAATGGTACAGAGTTAGAAATGGTGACAGCTCTACTTTGCGATTCACCTTTCTCCACGGTTCCTTCCTCTTTTCGCAATACTGAAAGCAGTTCTGAGCTCCTCCGACGTTCACAAAAAATTACTTCCGTTTCCATAGGGTCACAAAGTTTCCGCAAAAAACGGTAACGTAAAACACAACCGTTCATTTGTCCCCGTAACGTAAGGTGAAATGTTCGGATGACTGGGCTGAAATGGGGGGCCAGCTAGGCCGGAATGGAATTTATGTATCCCCCTTTCCGAATATAGATATGAAAACTTCAGATCTGTCTTAGCAGGAATGACTACGACCGGACTTCAGTTAATCTTCAACATACCGTTTCCACTCAATTGCCAATCGTCCGAGCGGTGTCTCAACGTCGTCCTCAGAAGTTTTGATAGCGACAACACAGCAGTAGGTAATCACCTCGCTCTCGGATAGGTAATCTGAAAAATGAATCTCAAATTACTCGGTTTCTAGTGTTCTACGATTTTCATACCTTCTGTGGTTTTGGCACACACCTGCTCTCCGATAGGTGTCAAGACATCAGCCTAAATTCGGTCATTCTAGGTTACTCTGACCAACCGCCAACTTTAACACAATGACAGGGTTTTATACCCTTCATAAACATCAGAAAAGCGGAATATATGTATCTTTTCTTAATGAAAGGCATAGCAACGCAATCGAAGTTCGAATTTCTGAGTTTTCAAGTGTGATGCAGTATCTTTGTCTCCCTGACAAAAGCACAGAACGAATGAAGGTCAGTTCCCAACAATGCTTTCGTTCCTTTCATTAAAATCTGCCTTTTACTCTTCATGCCATATCATCGACTTGCCTCCCACGACTTGCAAAAGGGGGAAAGCTTCGGGAAAAAGCGGTACCCTCTCCACTCCGAACTTCATTTTTATCTCTTTTTAAATGGATTGAACGATATCTGAAAGTAAACTCTCGCTTGGCTAGTCATGAGCCTGACCAACTTTCGATCTACTTGGTGCCAACCAATTTGAGCGCTGTATTTCCTTGACGAATTAATTCGAATTTTTCCTTAACGAACTCCCTCCAATATCAAACAAACGCGCTAAGCAATCCAGCATGAGCACAATCAACCGAAAATCTATAAAGGTTGAAAAATGAGAGGACCACCACTTTAGTGGACAATTGGAGAACTTACTAGAAGCCATTCAACGTGAGTGATAATAATGTTGGCATTAGCTGTGACTTCAGCTTTGATGACATATTCGCTGTGATTGAGAATGGAGGCCAGTGGAAGTCCCTTAATTAGTGCTAAT